GCCGAGGATGTTGAAAGACTATGGACGCGGGCTGCAGGCGGTCCAAAATGGGGGAAGGTATACGGCCTTCCTACTAAGACATTCCATCGCTATAGGTGTGGAATGCAAGGAATAGGGACTTCCTCGCAAGCCGAGCAACTTGATGGGGAGAGCCTCTCCGCTATGCGGGAGACTGTGACAAAGCTCACATCCGAGCTAGAAGCGTCCAAGGAAAGAGAAAAGCTTAGAGATGCTCAGTACATTGGCGTGGTCGCTCAGTGCCAGGGCATGCAAGAGCAGATCAAAAATCTCCTAGCTGGATCTTTTTCGATTCCCCGGTCTCGGCCATCATCGCCAGAGGTTGCCCATCCCCGTGCTCGTTCGTCCCGTCCTCCTAGTGGCCGTTCCTCCCGTCCTCCCCGTGATCATTCTTCCCGTCATCGACAAATAGACCCTTCTCAATACCGTGATGATGATGATGAAACTTCATCAGAGGGTGATGATAATGATGTACCAAACAATCAATGAATTTTAGACAATTTGAACTAGACAAATACAATTTATTTTCCATTGGGTTGTAATAAGAGTTAACTTAGTTCGGTAGTTCTATTGAAATTTACACTTTCTTGGTTTTAATGTAGCTTTTAATGTTGTTTTTGTGTTGTTGTTGTTGTTGTTGGGTTGTTGTTTGGTATTCTTATTGGAATTGTTGTTTGAATTGTTGTTGTTGTTGCTTGTTAGGGTTTTGGTATGACTGGCAGGTGGTGTAGCTGCCAAAACAGGCAGTTTCTGCCAAAATAATACACAGAAAAGCGACCAACTTTGGTCTCTATTTGGTCGCTTTTCACGTTCAAAAAAAATAAATTTCTAGAGAATAGCGACCAACGTTGATCGCTATTTACCCAGATTTCTACAAAAAGCGACCAAACTTGGTCGCTATTTCATTAAAAATAAAATTTACTAGTGATATAGCGACCAAGTTAGGTCGCNAAATAGAATAAATTCATGTATTTAGGGACCAAAGTTGGTCGCTAGTTTAATAAAATAAATAAATTATTGAATAAAAAAGCGACCAACCCTGGTCTATAGTTTCTAGATTTTAAAATATAATATTTGGATTAGAGACCAAAGTTGGTCGCTTCTTAATGATTAATAATAAATAAATAAATAAATAAAGTATTTTATATTTAGAGACCAACTTTGGTCACCAAATTTATATTATTAAATTAATAAAGCGATCAAAGTTGGTCTCTATAGTCAATATCCGGAATATTTGGTCCATTTAGCTTAGAGACCAAAGTTGGTCGCTAATTAGCGACCAACTTTGGTCCCTAAATAAAAGAGACCATCAATATAGCTGCCAGGTCCGTTTGGTCGCTTTTTGGTCGCTTTTTAGCCTAAAAGCGACCAACTCTGGTCGCTTTTTGCGGTTGCTTTTAGGCGGATTTCTAGTAGTAACAGATTTATCATAATATCAACTTTCTTCCGCGACCTGAGATAATATTTTTATTAGTAATTAATAATCTTTTAGTTCACTTGTTCTCCTAAGGGTCCTATGTTCTTTGAATATATTTAAGTTCCATGCATAGAATAAATTAGTGAAACTCTTGGCTTGTGAAACATGGTAGATTTGTTTAAGAGCCAGGATGGGTCCCTAATAAAAAGAACTAAGTAACTCTTCATATTTGAGCCTCAGAAATGACATAAGGCCAATACTAATAAATTTCTTAGTTGTTTAATAAGAAAATATATCACAAAAAATCTTTTACCATCTGTCTCCTGGAAGAAATTCCTTAGTTTAGAAATCATGAGAAGCATGAACCAATTGATAATTTCTCAAAAATCACATATCGTGGAACACGACGATTTGAAATCCTATGCACCAAAGAGTATTAACACAATTAAATCACTTATAATATAAACTAGTTTTTGGGCACGCATGTTGCGCGTGGACCCAATGTTAATGAGTACAAAAATTATAAAATCACGTGAATAATATTTTCTCAGGAACAAGGATGATGGGACAAAAGACACCTTATTGTGCATTTATATATAGTGCCGGGAAGAATCTGAAAAGGCATGTAGAAGGAGTTATCATGGAAGATGAAAGAACAAAATATAAAGAGTGAAATTACTGCAAATAATAAGTAAAGAAATGATTTCTATAACTTTATTAGGGAAAAGAAACGGATGAAATGAGCCATCAATATCTGGGAAAAAAGTTAGAACACCAATTTTAGGGTGTTCTTCAAAAAGAA